AATCTATACTGAATAAATCTAGTAAATGCGTACATTTATCAGTCACCACAAGCATTTTGCACATGGCTGGCTTAGTACATTTGCTGCAGAAAGTCACGCCATGCAACAACACAACCAATTACCACGAGAGATATGGTGTGATCATGTGCTAATCACTCACTGAACATTGTTTACCAGCAGTAAGCCTTGGATTTGAATATGTAGACTATAGTTGTAGATATGTAAGGTTTATGTCGCTGAAATTATTACCACAGTGTTTTTTCCAACATATGACCTATTGTTAAAATTTGTTAAAAATAATAATGAACTAATAAAAAAACAACCCGTTAATCTTCTACAATAATAAAAGCATAATATGCTAATTAGACCAGATAGCCAAACAACCTTCCGGACAAAGCCTGGGCTGCGAGGGCTGAGCCCCTTGCATGAATTTCGTGCATCAGGTCTTTAGTTTAATTATAAGCACATCTTGTTTACAAGCATTTTAAAATTAACAGGGTGTTAATTTTACATATGACGTACGGACTGGAAATTTTGTTTGTTAATTCCGAAGTCCATTAAATTGAGGTCAGCAAAATCAAGGGCTTACTGTATTTCATACATTTTAGTTTTTGATTCTCATCTAGGTCAATATTGGCAGTAGAGGATTGACCTTAGACATTTAAACTCTAGCAACCTCAGTTCTTGAACTTAATTTGTTCTAGAAGGTTCAAAAACCAAAGCATTTTTCCCATTAGAAATCATGTACATTGAATTAATCTGTTCCAGACCCCAAATGATGCCCTGTTTTCACCTTATATACAGTACATGTTTAATGTACTATTTAATCTATAAATAAACACTTCAAAGACAAAAAGGACATGAAATAAAAATTTAACAAAAAGGAAATGAAATGTATAGTAAAAAATTAAAATTTAATAACAATAATAAGCAGCAACAAAAGCAAAAAAACACAAAAATATTCACAGAACAATTTCCTGAGATGTTAACAGTGGTAAACTGACTCATGCTCTAGAATTCTTTCCTTGTTTGTCACCTAAGTCAGGTGATTAATCATACAGGTATAAAGGGTTGTTGGGTTGAGAAGCGAATTGTTCAAGATGGGAGACGTTTGAGAATTGAGGTTTGACTTGTGTTATTCACTTACTGTTATTGGCAGTGCACTCTCTTAGCTTGGTAGGCCTCTGCTTGTTTGCTGTTCTTCTAGCCCCCTCTTTGTTCTTCTTTCTTTGTTCTCTTTCTTCCTTCCCTTCTTTAATTTAAAAGAATTGTTTGGCACAGACCATCCTTTCTAATCTTTCAGTGAAGTTCTGTTATTTTGTGTGTGTTTTTGTTAAAAATGGAAATGTCCCAAATGCAACATTTTATTTTTTTTAATTATTATTATTTTAAAAAATATATTTTATTGATTTTTTACAGAGAGGAAGGGAGAGGGATAGAGAGTTAGAAACATCGATGAGAGAGAAACATTGATCAGCTGCTTCCTGCACACCTTTTACTGGGGATGTGCCCGCAACCAAGGTACATGCCCCTTAACTGGAATTGAACCTGGGACCCTTCAGCCCGCAGGCTGACGCTTTATCCACGGAGCCAAACCGGCCAGGGCCCAAATGCAACATTTTAAAAGTTAGGTTCCATAAAAGTAAAGGGTGAAGAGAATATTTAGATGCTTATTTGAATTTGGCCACTATTATTTGTCAAGTAAACCAACCTCTTCCCCTAGCTGGTTTGTTCAGTGGTTAGAGTGCCAGCCTATGGACTGATGGATCCCAGGTTTGATTTTGGTCAAGGGCACATACCTTGGTTGCATGCTGATTCCTGTGGGAGGCAACCAATCGATATGTCTCTCTCTCACTGATGTTTCTCTCCCCCCTTCCTCCCTTCCACTCTCTCTAAAAATCATTGGGAAAAATATCCTCCAGTGAGGATTAACAACAACAAAAAACAGCCTCTTCCATCACCTGGTAAATTAAAGCAAGAATCAATTTTTACTTAAGTAGATAGAGCAGAATTAATAGCAGAGAGAGAACTTTAGAAGAAGGTTTTTCTGTAAGGAGTACAGGTGCTGAGTTTATGCTACAATACTTTCCAGCTGCGGTATGCTTATGATTTTTTACAGACTGTTTACTTTGTATTCTTATGCATGTCACAGGAATGAACATTAGTTATCTGAATTGACAGGTGCAAGAACATTTAACTGTTGATGTGTAGTTGAACTCTTGTGGATGGGGGAAGGAGCAGAAGCTTGCTTTTATCATGTATTTGTTAACTTTGATAGAGCGTACTGTTTCATTTGGCAGAAATTATTTTGCTGAGGATCTCAGTATGGTGTTAAGAATTGAAAATGTAATAATTAATTATCATTATCCCTGGAAGTGGTCCTTCCAAAATGAGTTTGGGAGGAATAAGATGGGATAAAGTTTGCTCTGTTTGCTGAGCAGACAAACCCTGGAGACTAGGTAGAAAACCTAATGCGAGAGCTGTAACTTTTAAGCCTGGACATCACTACAATGCAGGTCTTTCAGTGCCTTTATTCAGCTGACACAAATTAGCTGTGATAACATCATTAAACCAAGGGGATTCAAACAGGTTAGAATTTCCTTGTGTTTTGCTCTGCAGTGCATGCAAACCATTGTTCGTTGAGTAGTTACCTTATTAATCTTTTCTCCCCTTATTATAAGGTCACAGAGTTGCAGATGAACATCCAAACAAATATTTGAAAAGTTACACTTACATGAAAAAGAGTGTGACTTAAATATGTGGGTACCTCCATTAGACAAAATTGAAGGAAAAATAAATAGGGAGCTAGTAGACCTCGGCTGTTGTCTTTGATCTGCCTGTCATTTTGACTTCTCTTAAGCCCAAACATCATGTTTTTTGTTTGTTTGTTTTGTTTTTTAAGGTCAGAGTAATTGATTCCTTGTTTCTTCCAGCTTTAAAATTCCTTGACTGTACAAGGAGTACTCTATATGAAATGTGTAATCTAAGGTGGCTGTGTTTTGGAGTTACAGCTAGAATTATGAGTTAGGAAGAGTGTTGCCCTCGCTAGTTTTGCTCGGTGGTTACAGCATCAACCTGAAGACTGAAGGGTTGGATCCCACGCCTGGGGCATGTGCGGGAGGCATCAATTATGTGTTGCTCTCATGTTGATTCTCTCTCTCTCACTCTTTCTCTCTCCCCCCACCTCCAACCCCCTCCCCCTCCTCCTTCCTTCCACTCTGTCTGAAAATCAATGGAAAAATATCCTTGGGTGAGGATTTAAAAAAGAAAAAAGAAGGGAAGAGTGTAGATGTATATTTTCTTAGTTTGAGTGTAGACATTTTGTGTATTTACTGTAGTGGGTAACTCATTCTGTTGAGTTATTGATGTTCATAGAATGCCATTTTGAATTATCTGTCATTCATATTTCAGGAATGTTTTAGTTTTGTGCGTGTCCATGGTGATAACATCACAAGTATGTAACTTACAAAATAAAATGCCATAAGAATATCATAAAAAGAAGACTGAGGGTAGATGAATAGGCTTGAATTAATCTATATTTCAGTTTCTTCCTGAAAATGGTTCTATAGTCATTATCTTTTATGTCTTTTTCTGTCTGATCACAATTATCTTTTTTAGGGACTTCTAAATAAGCATTTATTGGAGGCTTAAGAAAGAGGCAAGTGAAAGAACTTGACTTTGTCCCTATTTCCAGAGGAAGTTATGATTATGTTGACATTTGGACTGAGCCAGCTATAAAGATTACTGTGTTTCATAGCAGTGGCCTAAAATAATATTAAAATTCTGCCACTTCTTTTTCTTGCCTTGTTTTTGGTAGGGATTAATACATATTTGGGCAGGAGAATGCTGTGTGAATTGAACTTTAAATGCATTTGTATTTTAGAGGTGTGATATGAGAAATAATAAAAAGGTAAACTGGACTAGAAAATGAGAGGATGGGATTTACACATTGGTTGAGTCAGCTGACATTATGGTACACTGGAAAAAACATGGAACTAACAGAAGACTTGGTTTAGAATTTGGGCTCAACTAATTCATTTACCTTAGACAAGTCACTTCACTTTTCTGATCCTCTTTCCTCATTCCTCATAGGTCGTAACAACTACTCAGAGTTGTGAGGAAAAGAAATAATTTTTTTCAGGAAGTGCTTTATGGAATAGTATCCTAATTGGGGTCAAATGCATATATTTTAGATAGAAATAATTAAATCCTCAAAGTGGAGCTTTGGTAAATATCCTCTATCCATTTATAGATTTATCTTATTTGAAACAAAGAATATATGTGGAAGACTTTACCATCAAAACAGAAAAAGGAGATCGTTGTAAACTTTATGAAGAGTCCATAGAGGGAAGATTGCTTTAAGGATCTTTAAATCATTTAAAGATGACTTGTGGTCTTGGCCAGTGTGGCTCGGTTGAGTGTTGTCCCATGCACTAAAAGGTCACGGGTTCGATTCCTGGCCAGGGCACATGCCTGGGTTGTGGCTCAATCCCCAGTAGGTGGCGAGTTAAAAATAATATTTTTTAAGAAAATATTTCAATTGATTTTTATAGAGGAAGGGAGAGGGAAATAGAAACATCAATGTGAGAGCAAAGCATTGATTGGCTTCCTCCTGCATACTCCCTATTGGGGATCAGGGAATGAGCCTGCAATCTGGGCATGTGCCCTGACAGAAATCAGACCGGTGACCTTTCAGTGCACAGGATGATGCCCAAGCAACTGAGCTACACTGGCCAGGGCTAAAAGTAATCTTGTTAGCACAGAAACTTTGCTTCTTGGATCGTGTTTTGAAAAAAGAAAGACAAGCTTGACTTGAATCTCTAGCTTTTAAAACTCTTGGTATATACTTTTATCCTATTCTTTATAGATGGCAATAATTTAGAATTGGTGACATTTCAGATGTCTTCAGGCTCATAAAGAATGTGTTCTTGACTTTTGAGCATTGTGTTTATGAATGCTATCAACCTCCAGTTCATTTTACTTATGCTTTTCTCTTCCAGGTTTTTCGTTGGAATATACGTTGCACATTTATGGCGATTCTGAGTGTGAGGGCAGACTTCTGCCAGGCTCAGCACAGCGTTTTTGCTGACAAGTGAGCTTGGGGGGTTCTATGTGCCATAATTAATATTGCCTTGAAGACTCTGGACACCGAGACTGGCCTCAGAAATAGTTGGCTTTTTTTTTTTTATTGCAAGCATATTTCTTTTAATGACTCCAGTAAAATTAAGCATCAAGTAAACAAAAGTGGAAAGTAATCTACACTTTTAACTTGTCTCACTAGTGCCTAAATGTAGTAAAGGCTGCTTAAGTTTTGTATGTAGTTGGATGTTTTTGGAGTCCGAAGGTATCCATCTGCAGACATTGAGGCCCAAGTTGAATTTGGATTCAAGTGGATTCTGAATACTTCTGCTTATCTTGAAGAGAGAAGCTACTTAAAGAATAAACACGTTGAATAGAGAAAACACTGATTGATAATAGGCATTTTAGTGGTCTTTTTAATGTTTTCTGCTGTGAAACATTTCAAGATTTATTGATTTTTTTTTTGTTTTCATTTTCCCCATCACACTCACTCACACACGCACGCTCACACTTTTTATTTGCCATAATGAACCGTCCAGCCCCTGTGGAGATCTCCTATGAGAACATGCGTTTTCTGATTACTCACAACCCTACCAATGCTACCCTCAACAAGTTCACAGAGGTAAGATTATACTATGGTGTACTTTTTGGATTGATATATAGGTAAAATCCCATTAAAATTAACACCATTATAAAGAAATCTCTTATCACAAAGCCATTTATTTCCGTGATTGGCATATGATGGTCATCCTACCAGTCTTTTTTTTTTTTTAATGGGTTAGATTAATTATAACAGATTTTTAAAAGAACATTTATGGAATTTGGGGGGACCTTAGAAAGTATCTAGTACTATGTTTTTTCTTATATCTTTTCTACATTATTAGTTCTCTGATTATACTTTCAATAATAAAAATAATTAACATTTACTGAACACTTTCTACCCAGCATTACAATAAGCAATTTCATACAGTATGTCATTTACTCTTCTCAATAACCCTGTGAGGTATAGGTACTATTATTATCTCTCTCTTACAGATGAGGAAACTGAAATTCAGAGCAATTTAGTAATTTGCCTGAAGGCACACAGTACATAGTAGAACTGTCTCTGACACTAAAACCTGTGTCTACCTCAAATATTCTAACCACTTTTGTTGAAAAGCTACCCCAGAACTACTTGCAATAGTAGCCATTATATACAAGGGTTCAGAAACTTAGGGGAAGGAAAGGTATTATAGGTAGCATTTTTGTCAGATCCTTCATTTTTTCTATTAGTGGAAAGCATGTACTTTACTCAAATATGAGTAAGCTTTTTAATCATTCCCTGGTTGTTCAGTCTCAGTGTGATTTCTATTGATGTATTTTATGGAATAGACTTAGAGAGCTGAATGAACTTTTAGGGATTCTAAGTCTATCCCTCTAATTTTTCAAATGGCAAAACTGAGTTCAAAAAAGGTTTTGACTTGCTTAAGGCCACAAATATTTACCATGAAAAATTCTACCATAACCTTCCAATGAATGGCTACTATGAAGTTCATTTCAAAGGGATTTTATTTGTATTCTGAAACTTACTAAAATTACTGACTTAGTTATAATACTTAACAACTTTCCTGAACATACTTTATAAGAAAGCCTTTTTGTGAAAAATAAAATCCTTTAGCAATTAAAATAACTCTTTAGATAACCAAACATGATATCACTGTTCCTGCTTATTTATACTTAATAAGTCCTAAGCTCCTTAACTTTGTGTGCACAGTGTACAAGTTGATTCTAGGCTTGTGTCCTTAGGTTGATCAGTCACCTTTAAGCCTGGCTGAATTATGTGATACTATTTTCAGCCTGTGGATTCCTTGGCCATAGATTCCAAAAGTGGCAGAAGTCACTGTCCTCCTGCAACTATAAAAAGATGGTGGTCCCTTGAAGATAGGTAGTCACTGTATTAGGCATTATTGTGGGAAAGTTTTTAAAGGAGCAAGACTTCTGGCCATAATTATTTTGTATGTTAGTTGGCTTTGTAATATAATACCAGTTTTTAATCTTAATTTCAAAATAACTTTTGTTTCCTTAAATTAAAAAAAAAAAGAACAGTAAGTATTTTCTAAATAAAAATCAGAAGATACAGATAAGCAAAAGACACTTTAAAAATATTTAACTGTTGCCCTAGCTCGGGGGTGGGCAACTTTTTGTGAGTGCATGCCAAAACCAGCAAAATCTCTGACTCAGAATTCTTCTGCGTGCCAACCCTAATTTTTTGAGAACATGTTACGCCTACTTGATATCTCTTAAGGTGTACTTATGTGAAGAACCTTGAAGAAGTAATAAAATTCATTCGAACGACAAAAACACAGTATATGATGATGAAAAATACATTTTTTAATGTATACATGTACACTGATAGTCTGACAGAAAACTTTATGACTCCGTTTGATATTATCAGTGGGACTTTGGCTGCTGCATCACTGATGACAGAGATTTTACATCAGGTTTATATTTCGTGACCTTCAGAGATATGCACGAGCTACTACTTTAATCCGTCCAGCTACTCCTATTATGAGACTTAACAAAATTCATCACTGAGAACAAAGATTCACAATTGTAAACGGAAGATTATAAGAGAGGGTTTCGCGTGCCAGCAAAAGTTACTGGTGTGCCATGTGTGGCACACGTGCCAGCGGTTGCCCACCCCTGCCCTAGCTGGTTTGGCTTAGTGGATAGAGCGTTGGCCTGTGGACTGAAGGGTCCCGGGTTCATTTCCGGTCTAGGGCACATGCCCAGGTTGCAGGCTCGATCCCCAGTAGGGGGCGTGCAGGAGGCAGCTGATCAGTGATTCTCTCGCATCATTGATGTTTCTGTCTCTCCCTCTCACACTCACTCTCCCTTCCTCTCTCAAATCAATTTAAAAAAATCTGTATATATAAAAGCCTACTATGCAAATTGTCCTGCGGGAGTTCAACCAGGATTTCAATCGCTCGCTATGACATGCGCTGACCACCAGGAGGCACCGCGGAATGAAGGAAGGCCCCAGCCGGCAACCAGAAGGCCCCGACCAGCCCTGATCACCAGCCAGGCCAAGGGACCCTACCCATGCACAAATTTCGTGCATTGGGCCTCTAGTATATCTTACCTAATAATAGACAAACATGTAAATTGACCATCCCTCCGCTACGCCCATCAGCCAATCAGGAGAGTATGCAAATTAGCCCAACAAAGATGGCGGTTAATTTGCATAGGTAGGTGCGAAGCGGCAGAGCGAAGACTGAAGGCTCTGGCCGTAGCAGTGAAGACTGAAGGCTCCGGCTGGAGCAGCGAAGGCCTGGGTCCTGGGTGCTGGAGGAAAACCGGTGCTGGCAGCCAGGGGAAGGGAAGGCCTATTGCACGAATCTCTTCATGCAACAGGCCTCTAGTATATATATAATATAAACACTGTTTCTTTAAAAAAAAAAAACTTAACTGTTAATACTTGCCTTCTAGATGTTTCTTTCTGTGATCCTACAAATAGATAGGGTCATATTTAAAATAAAACTTCCCCCAACCTCTTCAGTATTATTTTCATAGCTGTCATAGTATGCTGTATGGCTAACCCATACTTTCTTTTAACCATTCCCTTGTTCAGACCATTAATGTTGTTTCCAGGTTTTTACCATTCCAAACTGTGCTGAACATGCTTGGCATCTAAATGTGTATATCTTTAATTATTTCATTAGTGAAAATTCTCAGAAGTAGAATTTCTAGGTCAAAGTATATGTGTTCTTTTAAAGTTTTTGTGTTATGCTACTAAATTGCCCTTTACAAAGGTGAGTCTTACTGATATTTCTACTGAGAGTGCAAGAGTGTCCATTATATATGTTGCCACAATGAGAATGATTTTGGTTTTTATTGAAGAATAATGTCTCATTGTTTCAACTCAAAATAGTAAATTTTTAAAGCTTTGGTCACAGATTCTAAAAGCAAATTACCTTATATTTATTTTTCTTTAAAGGAACTTAAGAAGTATGGAGTGACAACTTTGGTTCGAGTTTGTGATGCTACATACGATAAAGCTCCAGTTGAAAAAGAAGGAATCCATGTTCTAGTGAGTGTGTAGTGTTTTAATTTTTCATTACAAACAAGTTGTACCTTTCAGATATTTTATAAAACTTGGAACTCAGTAATTTTGCTTTTTGAGCTTATACTAGGAGAATACAGTGTTCATAGCAACCTTTAAATTCTTTTTTATTGGCAGTTTTGCTCATTTGTGCTCTTAAAGTCTACACTTGCAGGGTATTTTCAATAAATAAAAAGTAAAATTTAGTGAATACTTATTTTAAGAAAAAGTTAATTTGCATTTTGTTTTTCTAGGAAATTAATGCAATAGTTGGCTTTTGTTTCCAGGCTACCAGTTTGACTCTAACAAAGTCAAAACAAAACAAAATTTCCATCAGACATTCTTTTTTTCCCCCCATCAGACATTCTTAAGTCACATGGAAATATTCTCTTACTTTGCAAGTACAAATTAGTTACTTAGTATTTTGTAGTTAACTTGTAGGGGACAAAAAGGTGGGAGAAGAGGATAAGAAGGGAGAAGGAGAGGGCATCTTACTCCACAGTTATCAGCCTAGTTTCTGATACTTTTTTAGGTTTCTAAGTTTTTGTGTGATTAGATTTCTTTCATAGTTCAGTTTGAACAAAAAGTGATTGAAATTAATTTAAATTAAAATATTCCCTAGCCTCAATATATGCTATTTTATTATACAAAGCAGGAGCCTCATATTAGGCAAAATTTTATACCTTTTCCCCTAAATAGTTATTTAAATTGCAGGAGTATGTAATGAAATGACCTTGTAGTCTTAGGTGTTTTAGAGCTATTTGATTTGATTGTGGGAAGGTAGTGAAGTAGGTTGAGAACTGGAGATTTTTTTAGTAGTTGATGAGGCAGAAAATAAAGAAGATATTGGTATCAGGTTATATTTTTACTTTTTATTGAGAGCTAGTTTTGTAGTCTTTATTGCATTAGTCAGTAGTTGGGAAGGCTGTTGATGCAAAGAAAATAAATGTCCTGTTGGTAAGGCAGTCATCTCCTATCTGATCCATAAAGTGTCCTCACCTTCATTTGGGTGAAAATAGAAGAAATAAATAGCCAGACATTATGTTTTTAAAGAATACTATGTACTCAGATGTATTTGAGTAGTATGGCATGGTAGTAATTTGTTTGCATTCTCATTCCTAAATGACTTTAAGTTCTCCTGGCTGGAAATCACTGGGGATAAGTATAAACATGTGTAAAATGTAGCCCGGTGTTTAAGAACACACACACAAACACAAGAAATAAGTCAGTCAGAGAAAGACAAGTATCACATGATCGCACTCATATCTGGAATCTAAGTAACAAACTGATGATCGGAGAGGATCCAGAGACATGGAAGCATGGAACAGAGTGCGGAATCTCAAGAGGGAAGGCGTGGGATGGTGGGTGGGTGGGAGGTAATCAACCAAAGACCTAGAATGCATATATGCATAACTCTTGTACACAGACAATAGGGTGCTGAAGGCCGCGGGGGGGGGGGGGGGGC